ATAAAGAAAATAGCCCATTGATTTGAATACATTTACGGAGGCAATCGAGGTCCATACCACAAGTATTATGAAAGAATTCAACCACCTGGCCTTTATCAGCTTACGCGACTTAGGGGTAGGATGCCAATAATTCAAGATCCATTGATATTTTCGAAACGTATAAAGAACTAATATGAAACACTGTCTAATGTTATCTGATATTAAAGTTGGGTGTCCCAAAACCGTTAGTGCTCAGATTAATAAATTAATGACTAGTTTATAATAGACTAATATTACTTTGCTTCTTTTGGTATAGAAATCTCTTTTTAATCTGGATTTGGAACTCGCCGATGAGATTTGACCCGAGTTCATTAAATCCCTTAAAATGCTAATGACTATAACCTATTTTAAGTTGACCTATACCACGATTTTCTCGGCTATTTCAGGATGAGGTATGAAAATTTGTCACCTTGAGAAGAAAAGTAAATCGCAAAGGTAGAATATCTCGATTCAGAGTAGCTCGTCTATCAAGCAATTTATTTTGCCGCTAATATTCAATAGGGCAATCGAAGAGAGTGCAAAATACCGCTATGTTGGTAGGAGTAAGCTTCGGTGAATCGAAACGAACTGTACAATTCGCCTACTACATGTATAGGAAAATCTAAAATCCATCGATCACCGGTGCAACCAGCCTACGGAGTAGCCATGGTACTAATTTTGCCTTAGTAACGAGCTTGTAAACCATGTGGAAGTTCGTTCAAAGTCATTTAGTCTATCGCTTAGGTGTGCAAGAACTAGTGAATACGGATAGAGGCAATAATCTGACTTAGTAAATATGTTAGTATCCGATAATCATGGTTGCGAAAAAGAAGTCTCCAGTGGAGTACAAGTAGTGTACATTTTATCTTAAGAGGCTAAGCCTGATCTTTTTACGAATGAGACGTTATTGCTTTCCTTCCTCTATATTGTCTAGTTCGAAACAGTTAATGGACTCTGATCGCCTGCAGAAATGGCAGTTCACGGGGATTTACTTAGTAAATTGAATAAAGCACATATAACATATAGACAAGTCGAAACCTCGTTACCTAGCCTTTAATAAATGTCACTCCATATGGAGCTTGTGTAAATATTGTTTCAACTTAACAAAAAAGACAGGCGTCAAATATTCAGAGGCTTAGCTTGGTTGGCGTTAACTTTAGTATATTTCCTAAGGGAACACTTTTGCCTGTGTTTAGGCACTAGTGACACAAAGGAAACCAAAAGAAAGATGCTTTGAGCTCGCTTAGGTAAACGGATCGCTAACGAAGACGAAAGTAAATGGTCAAAGAATATCCCGAGCTCCTTCTCTTCCATCCTCCCGCCATTAGCTATATTTCAGAGGTTTATGCAGTGTACAATCAAGGCGGAATTATGATTTTAAGCCAAACTTTATGACGTGCCAGATTGTCCAAAAAGCATGCGTGCAGGTGTGTCAAAACTGGTGGTAATTAAATAAATACAAGTTAATAAGATCCATGGTATGGGGCAAGTGGTTATCGAGGTTCAAGGCTGATTTAGATGTATGCTGAATACGAAAGGTTGGTTAACAACTCGTGACAAAAGAATGGTGAAAAAAGATTAAAATGAGAATGAAGCATGAAAATACATAGAATAGGAATAGAATAAGAACTAAGGTGGTGTAAAAAACTTTAATTTGTGAATGGAATAATAGACTGACGTTTACCGAGTTACTAGAGTAAATGTAGATAATGAAAGCACATTAATAAATAATGCATAATGGGTTTAATATAATTCGAAATACTGACATGATATGGAGGAATAGTATGGAAAAATAGTCGGAATATCCCAAGCTAAAAATTGGTTTTAAATGCAAATCAAGGCAAAATGGCTTGCATCGAAAATAGGAAAAGCAGTAGCACTAGTGGATGCAGTTATCCATCGAATGTTCAGCATGAGATTATGGAAATGAAGATAAAAATGACTCATGTATCGAAAATGAGATCGATTTTATAAACGGACAAGGTGGCCAAATGAGATACTGCAGATAAATAAGAACCAAGTAGTCTCATTTTGGTGGGGGAATTCGACGGTAGATGATCAGCTTATATGGACTCAAGTGTGGTAATGCGTGGAATTGGTTAATAAAGCTGCGAAAGAACTTGAAGTAAATGTATTGGCAAGATGGGAGACAGCCGGGCAAGGCGGACTGTAGCATATAATAAGAGGAACTAGTGTACATGAGAGATGGCAGATTAATAGACGCTCTAATTAAAATATTTATGATCATGAAGATGACGATAAAAAAGATACTTTACAAGAACTTTCTAAGTCGTGGGGATCGTGAAAATGATACTGAAAATGCCGAATGATGGATAAAATTATATCTGAATATATGATCGCTAGAAATAATTAATCCTTACTGATGAGGGATGATAGCTTGATAGAGCTTCAGGCTTTAAAAGTTTATTCATAGAGCTTGTAAAGTCATTGTGAAAATGGAGCCAGTAAAAAAGCTATAAATAGTTAGAATAGTGATAAAGTGTGTGGGTAATCCATGGTGAATAGACTACTTCTCCATGATGCAAGATAGTTAGAATGAAGGCCTAGTTTGTATTAAACTTCAAAGCTGAAGAGAATACCTCGGTAAATATGAAAGTGCAAAGATTTAAACCACACACCAGATCGGAATGTGAAAAGATGGGCCAATTTACAGGCATACAAACATGTTAATCCTTTAATCTTGTTTTAAATCCTTGTTATTGGGAAGTGGGCGCTTTCAACTAGAGATGTAACGCTTCGATAGTACCTGCGTGCGAATAAATATAAGCACAAGCAAGCCTAATAAGAAAGCTGAGAAAACAGGAAGAGGTAAAGAGAAAAGGATGAAACATGAAAGAATCACTCATTTCTTATGTGAACAGAAGTAGAAGCATTTCGACCAAAATGCAGCATAAGAACAAAGAAAGCGGTTTGACAACGATTTTCCGAAGCTAAAGGAGCATTTGGGAGGGACAATTGGGCAAAAGAAAAAATGAGTGAGAAGGCAGTATAACTTACCCCCTAGATAAAAAAGAAATTACCTATAAATGGAAAAGAAATAAAGGTTTCTAGTCGACAGACTTGCATACAAGACTAGAGATATACAGGGTTCCTAAAGAAAGTTTTAGAGCTGGCAAATGATATGCTAGATCAGAAGGATCACATTTGTCTCTAGTGAAGCAGGTCACAAGAATCCGATCAGGAAAAGCGAGTGGCTTTTAGACGGAGATAAAAATATGGCGAACCGCTAGGCGCTTCTGTATGGTCAGAGTCCCCAATTAGTTCAGAGTAAAATGATTGACTGGCATAAAATGCAAATGAGAGACAAGTCTTAAGTAGCGAAAATCCAGAAGCGGATGCGACAGCCATACTATAAGTGATGAGGGAAGAATAACATGATGGAAAGACGAGTGAGATGCACGTAGGTATATATACATCAGCCTATAAGCGATTGGCGAGAAATCTGAATGCAGCCACAATTCCCAGCGTACCAACAGCAACTGTGGCGACACGTGTAATAGCAGAGGACAATTGACTGACCAAATCATCTTCGCCGCCAGCGCCGGAAGATCCAGTCCCGGAGCTCGGAAATAGAAGGCCACGAAGACCGGGAGTAGCTACGGCAGGATCCACATGGGAGCCACGATCATTCTCGAAATCAATCAACCCATCCTGGTATTATATCAAAGGGGTAAAAAATAGCATCATTGAAGCATTAATATAAGAATATTGAGCGTAAGATATGAGGGCACGGATCTACGAAGTAAGGAATATGCATAATGCGCGTAGAAGTGTCACCAAGTTAAATAGTTGTACAAATGATGAAAAATTGTGTAAAAAATTATTTGGGAACGTACATAATGGCAAAGACCAAAACTTACCTAGTTAGTCACCGCCCAAATATGACGGTGGTAAGAGGAATATGGTCAAACATGATTGACGAATTTAGTGACAAAAGGTGAACATTTTAATACCAATGGTAGATTTTACAGTTAAACATATAGTTTAACCACGGGATAGAGTTTGTAACCAAGCCTATAAAATAACTGCATGGCTCATTCAGATCTACGATCAATTTAAGAAGTATTCCAATTTTCTAAACTCCTTAAGAAAATGAATATAACAGACAGAGTGGATGAATTTATAATGTATACAGAAAATGATGATAAGTTCACCATTTTGGAAGACTTAGCTATTCAAAAAAGGATTATAAGGTTGAGGATTTCCTTCATAATTTCTTTTCTAAATCATCTGTAAGAATTAGAACTTAAAAGATAACTTCTCTGGGATTTGTATTCGGGTAAAATATTGTAAATAGCTCCAGACTGATTATCTGTCAGTTCACAGACGAACTATCAGCAAGGATTCCAGTTCGCAGACGTTGAGTCAAGGACTTAAAACAAATCTAATCATAGGTCATCCAGTTCCGGATTCCCCTTACCCGCATTTATAAAGGAAATAGATGACAATTCGCAATCTAAGCATTATATGAAGAAAACTGAATTTAAGGGAATTTCATTAATCGATATTGGTTTACCTTTCTTTTCCTTTAAGAGGCGAATGGAAAGGATACGTGAATGTGCCTGTCCGAAAGTGGAAGGATTACAGATTTAAAATTCTTAGGCTTAATAAGTCAATGTGAAAAGAAAACACCCTTCAATTGCTTAAAGTGTGAAGAATGGATTGGACAGAATAAAATATAATTAAAAGGCGGGCATTTTTTACTGACAAAAATAAAGA